CGAGCTGCTGTCCTCCGCCCTCCAGACCGCCATCGGCCAGATCCGGGCGGGCAAGCTCTGCCTGTCGTCCACCGTGAAGCAGGGTGAGTGAGGGCTCCCGAGCCCCCCAGCCCCGGGAGCGTGGAAATCGGGGACCGGGTCCGAGTGGGTGGGTGACCTCAGGGAGGGCCGGGGAGAGCAGCCAGCCCGGTGGGGGAGCGGCCGTGTGTCCGGCGCGTGGCGAGGGGCCTGCCTCAGCGCGGCCGACGCCCCCCCGTGCAGTGGTCCGGAAGCTGAACGAGCTGTACAAGGCCAGCGTGCTGTCCTGCCAAGGCCTGAGCCTGCGCCTGCAGCGCTTCTTCCTGGACAAGCAGCGGCTGCTGGACCGCATCCAGAGCGTCACCGCCGAGAAGCTGATCTTCAGCCACGCGGTGCACACGGTACGGCCGGACCCCTCGGCTGGGGTGGGGTGGGACACCACGCAGTCCCCCAGCTGCCAGATGGCCTGGGGCCCCTCCGGGCCCAGCGGGCTCTATAGCCCAGGCGCATCCCTGGCCACACCCTGCCTGAGACTCAGTTTCCCCAACTGGTGGGGATGAGGTCTCCGAAGGCACCGGTGCCGGCTCCTGGTCTGCTCACGTGGGGCAGCTGAGGCTTTGGGGTCCTTCTGCCCAACGAGAGCAGCCCAGAGGCAGTGCCTGTTTCTGAGATTGTCGATTAGCGTAGTGAAAACGCACAGCGGACAAATGTTCTAGCAAAGTCTGCCTCCCCCCGGGGGTGACCCCTGACTGCCCTGGGGGGTGGGGTAGCTGCTGGTCCGATCTGCAGCCCCTGGCTGCCCGCGGCCACAAGGGCAGCCGTTTAGACGCCCCGTGCCTCGGGCCACACAGGTGCAGTCGGCTGCGCTGGACGAGATGTTCCACCGCCGGGAGGACTGCGTCCAGCGCTACCACAAGGCACTGCTGCTCATGGAGGGGCTGCAGCAGCTGCTCGTGGACCAGGCGGACGTGGAGAACATCGCTAAGTGTGAGTGCTGGCTCGCCCGGAGGGGCAGGGGCAGGGGCAGGGGCCACGCTCACCGGCCCTCCTCCCCGCAGGCAAGCTGTGCATCGAGCGGAGACTCTCAGCCCTGCTGACCGGGCCCTGCTGACCGGCCTCTGTGCCTGACCTCTCAGGAGCCTGCCCGCCAGGCCCCAGCAGCCGGACCTTCTCCACGGACCCCATGGTGGGCTGCCAGGGACAAGCCTACAGCCTGGGGCTCCCAGTGCTGGGGGAGCCCAGCCTCCCCACCCTGCGTCCAGAGCCAGGCGCCCAGGCACGGCTGCATCCTGGGCCTCGGCTGGCGCTGGAGGGCCCACACGGAACCTCAACCCCGGCCAGTCCCCTGACTGCTTCCAGGGCAGGTGGGGACTTATGAGCAGCCCCCCACCCCGGCCGTCCAAGCCAGGGCCCACTCAAGCCAAAGCCTCCAGACCAGCCCAGGGCCCGCCCAGGCACAGGTGCGGGCTCCTGGCCCCTTTCCTCCCTGAGACCACCACCCGGCTTTGTGAATCACCGAGCACTTTATGCAGGCGGACTCGCGCCAGGACCGCGCGCCCAGGGCCGGCCGCTGCCCCGGAGGCGTGTGTACATACCGTATACATATATACATATATAAATAGCCCGCTGTGCCTGCTGCCCGGCCCCGGGAGGCACGGCGTCTTATTTAAACGTTCTGTTAGGGACACGCCGGACGATGTGCCGCGCTTCCTGAACGCAGAGCAGACGTGGCAGTCTTTCCCACTCACGCGTAAAATGTGTCTTATTTTTCTGCAGCTCTTTGTTCGTGTAAAGGAGAAGACCCGTAGGTGTCTAGTTAGGACATTTTGTTTTGGAAGGTGGGGGGACCCAGAGCAGGCAAGTGCGCCTGCGTGGCCGGCCGGCCTGCTGTCCCTCCCAGCCGGGGCAGTGGGGCCCCTGCCGAGAGGACGGTGGGCAGGTGAGGGGGCGCGTTGTGTGTGCGCAAACACCTCATCCAGCTTTCCCAGTAGGTGTCGATGTCAAATGCCCCCCCCTGCCCCCCCACCAGGTCCTGGCCCCCATTAAAGGGGTCAGAGGGGCCGGGGAGGGCCGAGTTCCCGGCTCCAGGGGACTTCTCTGGTCTGCCCAGCTCTGCTCCGCCCCCCCGAGTGCCCCCCGGGAGTGCGGAGGAAGCCTGGCGAGCCCAGGCACCCGGCCAGGGATCCCGGGGTCTGCGCCCCGTCAGACCTGCGTGTTTCTCTGCAATACTTGAATATCGCCCTGTGCCGGGACTTCGGAGCGGCCCAGTGACGCTGTCTTCTCATCACCGGTGACGTTCTATTTTTCCTGCTGCCCAGGACATGTTCCTATTTATTGCTTTGTGGTCGGCTGGACTCCAGGTCTGCCGGGAGGCTGGCTCCTCGGGGGCGGGGCCTCCTTCCCAGCCCCTCGTGTCGTGGCGCCGAGTGTGTCCCGTGCGCCGCCAGCCAATCCTGCTCTCCGTGAGAGAGTTCTCGGTTCTCAGTCCACTTCCAGAAGAATTTTGTGTGGTTCCCCTCCCCGCCCCATGCCAGTTGTGTTAAATTGTGTAATATCCACTCAAGGAAATAAACTGTTGGAATTGTTGAGTTGGTGTTTGCCACTGGCGTTCTCGGACCCGGCACCTGCTTGCTCCTCCCTGCCCCCCCGCCCCCCCAGCCCCAGCATCCTGCCCTCCTGCAGCAGCACCTGGGTTGGCCCTGCACACAGGCCGGCTCGGCTCGGGGAGCAAACCCCCAGGGCACTGCTGGGGCCCCGTGGCCGGTCCCCTGACTGTGTCCCAGCAGAATCTGCCCACTGGGCCCTGGGGGACACCTGCCTCTCTGGGTTCTCCAGGGGTTCACCCAGGAGGGGAATGCGTGTCGTGAGGTGACTCTTTGTACAATTTCAAGGAACCGGCGCCAGACTTTGCACGGCAACCACGCCTTTTCCGTCCCTGCCCGATCTCCCCGCACCCCCAGCAGCGCCGTGAGCCTCTGTGTCTTCACACGCTGTTCGCAGTGGGTTTGCACATCCGCGGTGATCAGTGACCTCCACGTCTTTTCACGGGCTTGTCGCCATCTCTGAACCTACATTTTCACAGAAATGTCCATGCAAGCCCTTTGGCTGTTTTGTTTTTTTTTTTTAATTGGGTGGTATCTCCAATGTCGAGTGGTACGGTTTGCATTTTTTTCAACTGCATAATGTTTTTGTAAGTTAAAAATAGCCCATTAAATTGCCAAAAAGGCTAACCGCAATGTGAAACGAAAGTTCACGGGGAGGTAGCGGTGAACTTTTTTGAGGAAGCAAAGGCAGGGCCCGCTCAGGGCCAGCTTCCTCAAGAGCGGACCCCGGCCTCCGGAGAGGAAGGGCCGGCCGGACGGGGCTGTCTGCTCCATGGGTCTCCGCGCCTGTCAGTGGCAGAGATGCTTGGGGGGGGTGGGGGGGGGACAGTCCTGGCCTCTGGCTGTCGTTGCTCAGTCAACAAGTCCTTACTCTTCCAGAAGAACGTGCGGCCAGTACAGTTCCCAGGCTCGCCCTCCTCCCCGCCCTTCCGTTCCCCTGGCGCGGACGGGCGCCTTGCCTGGCTGGGCTGGCCTGTTGCACTTGCACTCCCCCGCGTCCACAGCGGCAGCCGCCCGGCACCCACCCTGCACGTTCTGTGGGTGTGAGCAAAGGCGTGGTGACACGTACCTGTCGTGACAGGGTCACACAGGGTAGCTTTACTGCCCTAAAGACCCTCTGCACTCTGCCTGTTCCCCCCCTCCCCAGTTCCGGATTTTTCACTGTCTCCATAGTTTTGCCTTTTCCGGGAGGTCATGCAGTTAACATCATACACTTCGTCGCCTTTGCAGATGGACTTCTTTCACCGAGTAGTAATATTCTCCATGTCTCTGTGGCTTGATAGCTTTTTTCCCTTTTAATGCTGGGTGGCTTCTCACAGTCTAACCACTCATTTCCATGCACCTGCTGCTGAAGGACACCATGGTGCTCCCAAGTTCCAGCGATTACGGATACAGCTGCTGTAACCACCCCCGTGCAGGAGCCTGACTGCGACAAGTGGGCCCGGGAATGCTGGCCTGGGGGTGCAGTGGCCGTGCGGGACGACCTCGAAGTCCCCTCTGCACATCCCTTGCACGCTCACGGCCCCCCAGGCCCACAAGGGCCCCTCAGCCAGGAGGGCTGGGCTCGGGCACCCACCCTGCCTCAAACCACAGCCCCCGGGCGCCTGTCCCAACTTCGGGCCTCAGTCTACCGTCTGTAGAATGCAGCTGCGAGATCACCCATTGTAGCTGGTGGGGTGAAGAGGCGGCAGGCATGGTGGTGCTCTGCGTGAAGGTGGCCGGTTGCTTCCTCATGCTGCTCGGCCGCCTGAGCCCGCCAGGCCACGAGAGACCTTGCCTTTCCTCATCAAGGACCGGGAGCGCAGCTTTCTTCCTCTCTGCAGGGAGAAGGGCCATCCCGTGGGGGCACGGGAGCTCCTCCCATCGGGCCTGACTTGTGAGCTACAGGAGCCGCATCAGCCCGCGGTTCGCCTGTTCTAAACATTTCACACACCGCGTGGCCTTCGCATGTCAGCTCCTTCACGGAGCATCAGGTTTTCAAGTTTGCTCGCGTTGCAGGGGGCGTTAGGGCTGGCATTTGTTACTTAACAACGCAGTATTATGGGAGTGATCCGTGTTGTCGTTATCCGTCTCCCTAGAGACGCACGCGTTAACACGTGCAACCTGGGCAGAGCCCTGGAAGCGTTACCGTTAGCACGGCTGTTCGAGCTAAGGCGCCGTGCGCAGCCGCATTCACCGCGGCCCGCAACCGGCCCGGACTCCGCTGCTGCCAAGCCCCGCCCCCGCCCCGCCCCCGCCCCGCCCCGCCCCCACGCCAAGCCCCGCCCCGAAGGACTTTTGTCCGTCCCGGCCGCCGTCCGGCCTCGCGCTGCTCTTCCGCCTTCGCTCACGTGGTCCGGCCGGGGTTCAGTCTGCGGCGCCGTGAGTGGGGCCGGGTGGGGTCGCGCCTCCCGGGTCCCCGCGGGGCCGGTGGCCGGGCTCTCCTGATTTCCGAGGGGAAGAGCCGGGGGCGGGGCTGGAGGACGAGGTGGGGCCTGGGGAGGTCAGAGGTCAGCCTGGGGTCGGGGGACGTCGGAGGATCGCCGCGGGCGGGGCGGGGCCTCGGGGAGGTCTGGAGTCGCGCGCGTGTACCCCACCCGGGCTGTGCATGGGGCTCGCCGGCCTGCGGGCGGCGGCCGAGGCCCTGCAGAGAGCCTGCGGAGCGTGGACGCCGCGCCTGGGACGGCGCCTCCTCGGGTAATGTCCGCACCTGTCCCAGCCCGTGTCAGGGTCGCGGGGGCTCCGCCCGTCTTGCCGACGGCGCCTCTGCCTTCCCAGGTGGCCCCCCATGGCCGAGAAGGCGGAGGCCCCGGCGCCCGTGGGGCCCAGGCAGGAGCAGGCCCGGAAGGCCCGGAGCGGCTGGCAGGGCCGGGGCAGGGCCTGGGAGGACGCCGAGCAGCCGGCCAAGAAGCTCAAGAGCGGCGCGGACGGGGAGCCGCCCAGGAAGCTGCCCAAGCGCAAGATCGTGATGCTCCTGGCCTACTCGGGGAAGGGCTACCACGGCATGCAGGTGAGCGGTGCGAGCCCCGTCCGAGCCCGCTCCGACTCGCCCGCGACCGCCCGTGGTTCCGCGTAGGGCCTCCAGGGGGCCCGCTTCGGGGAAGGGCAGAAAAGCCGCTCTTCCGCCCTGTGTCGCGGGTCCCAACAAGTTGAGACTCGAATCCGAGCGCTTCGACCTTGTGCCAATCACGGGGGAGGCTGTTGCCGGGGCTTTGACCCGTCTCCCCGGGCGGTTAAATGCCCAGCCCCGCCGCTGACCGGGCGCCACACCTGGGGTGCTTGGTTGGAGCTCTGCGTGCCTCGGGTTCCTCACCTTCGCAACGGGGTGATCTCAGCAGCGGCAGGAAGGAGCAGGAAGGCGCACTGGGCTTGCTGATGCCGCGCGCCGAGACCCAGGCGCTGCTGGGGAAGAGCAGGGCAGTCAGCTGTCCCTGTCCTTTCCAGCCGCGGAGGCGACGGGCTGTGGGCAAGGGGCCCCTTTTAGAATTCTCTCTCCAGCCTGCCAGCGTGAGCCTCTTCTGAAAGGCAGAGGGTGCTGCCCGAACGCGTGTAGACTGTCTCCTCCCGTCTTGTCCTCACTTCTGTTTGGGTCAAGTCTCAAGGCCTGACTCACGGTGAGAAATTCACTGCTGGGACAGAGTATCTAAGTGAAGGGAAGTTTAGAAAAAGTTGTTACAACTTGTACTAAGAACAGTAGCAACGGTAAGTCACTTTGTATCCTATTTTGTTTTCAAAAAGGCACCGCTTGCACTCCTGAAACCAAGTTCATAACCACTGGTGGACTGTGGCCTTGGTTCAGTCTGACAGCCCCAGTTGTCTGTAGGAGCAGGCCGACCGACCCACGGGAGTGCTTTTTCCAGGGTGGTTTTGATTACGTGGATCTTTGCCTTCAGTGCCGTCTTGAGAACTTGGAGAGAAGGCCTGTCATCTTCCATTTGCCTCAGTTTTCCCATTAGGGAAATGGGTGGAGAGTGACAGCTCACGGGATGCAGGGGAGGACAGACTGAGAGACTGGGGTGGGGGTTGTTGCCCCTGTTTGTTAACATCCGTTCTTATCACCTGAGCACTTCTGACTCCATGCCGAGTGAGGGATTGGACCCACACTGTGAGGTAGAACTTGGGGAAGGACTTCCCCTGGTGCTGAGGCCCTGTGTCCCCTGAGTGGGAAAGGCTTTCTTAGAGAGCGGGAAGGGCGGTGGTCTCACTGACACTGGAGGGTCCTGCAGGCCCGGGATCAGGGTGAGGACAGCTGACTGGGACGGTGTCAGAGATGGCTCTGGAAGCAGAGGCTGTCTCCCCTGCCTGCGCCAGTCCTGGGAGGTTGCGTGGGCTGCGCAGGCACCGAAGGGTCTACGGAAGCCAGGGACGCTTCCCTGCAGTCACCCGGGAGGGGTCTCCCTGTGGACAGATGCGCCCCGCAGTGGGACAGTGCTGGTTTCAGAGCTGACCGGGTGGAGGAAATGACAGTGCCTGCTACCAGCCATTCGCCTGCTGCCCGGGGTGGGGATTCGTCAGGACTGTGGGTGCCCTCAGGTGGCTTTCGTCCTTCCCCTGGGGGGCACGAGATGCAGCATCTCCCCATGGCCACAGGTGGGGTCCCCGACTGTGCGGGCAGGCACACGGCACCTGTCCCTGCCAGGAGCCGCCCAGGCCCTCTCTTGTGGATAGTGACCAAGCGGAAAACTGTGTTTTCTTCTTTCCCTCAGAGGAACGTTGGGTCCTCGCAGTTCAAGACCATCGAAGACGACCTGGTGTCTGCCCTGGTGCGGTCAGGCTGTATTCCGGAGAATCACGGCGAGGACATGCGGAAGATGTCGTTCCAGCGGTGCGCCCGCACGGACAAGGTAGGCGGCGTCTCTGTCTCGGGCGGTCGGCACTCCTGGCTCCCAGTGACAGCTGCCCGAGGGAGACTGGCCCGGTCTCGGCAGGAGGCTGCTGCTCTCGGTGGAGGAGCAGAGACCAGCAGGAGCAGGTCTCCCGGCAACGCTGGGTGTGGGTGCCCACTGCCGGCAGCGCTGCGTCCGCTCTGTCCTCTGCCGCCGCCCGGCCGTCTCGGCGCTGTGACACACACACAGGCTGGCCACACTGCGCCATGCATTCCCACTCGCCGCAGTCGGAAGGGAAAAGGAAACCAGTGAAATCGGTGTTAGCGATAGCGTCAGTTTAGAGGTCCCTGGGGTGCATTTCCGGTCCTCTGGGCGTGAGCACTGGCTCCAGGGCGGTGTCTGCCCCGTAATCGGCGCATCGCTGTGCCCCTGGTGGACTCGGAAGCCCCCGTGGCTACGGCCCAGCACTGTCCACCCGGAGTCACAAGGGTGAGTCCCGCTGTCTGGTGGGCGCACGCACCTGTCCTGGGCCCAGTCACCGGCCTGTGTGGCAGCCGTCATGTTCCCGGACATGGGCCTGGCTCAGGCAGGAGCCCCCCCCCCCCCCCACACACACAGGAGAACGGAGGGGTCACCAGGGCCGGGCCCCGGGCATGGGTCAGCGGGACGACAGGGCCGGAGCGCGTGAGGCCTCCTGGTAGAAACAACACGGCGTGCTCGTGCCCTGGCCCTCTGGGACGGTGGCTGCCGGGCACGTCCAGCCTGGGCCGGGGGCGGCCGTCTCCCGGACGGAGCTCTCAGCCTGCGCATCGCCTGGTCTCGACGGTCCTTGGGTGCCCTGTGCTGCCTTGTGCTGAGTGCCTTCTGTTTCCCCAAGTTGCTGGAAGTCACATCAGAGGTGGGATCTTATTTCCCATCTGCGTGATCACGTGTGTTCCCTAGTGCGCGTTCTGCTGACCTTGGAAGTCGGGACGTGTGTGTTCTGTAGCGCTCGTCCCGGGGTCCGTACGCCAAGCGGTGCTCTCGCACCTGCTGGCTCTCTCCAGGCGCCTTTCCGAAGGCAATTCTCCGCTGGGAACGGACTGTGACCTCGGTGTGGGCCTTCGTGCCCCCTGTGGGGTCTGCGGAGCAGGTCCCATCCGGCTCCTCTCACCCTGTGCTTCCTCTGCAGGGCGTGTCCGCAGCCGGCCAGGTCGTGTCCCTGAAGGTGTGGCTGATTGACGACATCTTAGAAAAGATCAACAGCCACCTCCCGTCCCACATTCGGATTCTGGGTAAGACCCGCAGCGTGGGGGCTGCAGACGGATGGATACGGCCGTGTTTCTTCCCTCCCCGAGTGTCTCTGGTGCAGGGTCGGGACATGGGTGACACAGCAGATGGGGGTGGGGCTGGGAGTCAGTTTTCCCGCCTCCCTCAGAAAGGGCAGACTCGGACACTCCTCGACTGCAGCTGCACGCGCCTGGCTTTAGCCAGACCCTGGGTGTGGAGGTCCAGACTCAGTGAAGTTAAAACATGGGCACGCGCCCCCTCTTCTAGCAGGCCTGGTAAAGAGGACTTCTTCCCTCGTTAGAAAACATCCCAGCTTCATCCCTTTTAAGTGGCGGCCCGTGCACGACAGGGAGGCTCGGTGTGGTGTTGGGGTGGCTGCTGTGGACCTGGCCACGTGTCCCCTTTGTCCCATCTGTTCCTTGTCCCCCCTTTTCTGCTTTCTTTCAGGTCAGTTGGTATTTTTCATAGTTCCCTGTATTGGAAACCTGGCTGCCTTGGTAGCGGCAACTTGGCTGTAGATTTTCCGTGATTGCTTTGGGATGTACAGCAGGGGCTGGCAAACTTTGCAGAGGGCTAGGGAGTAAAATATTTTGGGCTCTGTGGCCACACAGATTATGGTGTGTATTATATATTACTCTTTTTGTTTTTAAACCCGCCCTTTCAATGCCACCACTCGGACTGGGCAGAAATGGCCGGGGCTGAGCCATTGTTTGCCGGTCCCGGTTCCAGGGCCCGTCCCTCACTTACCGCCGTCTTCAGGCGGAGTCACACCGCTCCGGGCAGAGCCTACATCTGGGACAGCCCAGCCGCACCCCTGCCCTCCGCTTTGCGCTGCGGTGGACACATTTTATATTTACGGACGTTGCAAACGCCACACTACATTGTTACTGTTTTCTCTTGAAGCAGCCACTTCAGACTTTTAAGGATACTTTTTAAAGGTGAAGTGGAATTCATGTGTAATCAACCCCTTATTAAGTATACAATTAAGGAGCTTTGGTACACCTGCAGACCTGTGCAACCGTCCCAGCCCAGATAACGACCTCTCCTCTCCGTTCCCCCTTCTCACCGGCAGCCACTCTCTGCTTTCTGCCCTGAGACAGTTTGGGTTTTTACAGTTTTGTATGGATGGAGCCACACGACACAAACTCCTTTTCGTCCGGCTTCTTCCACTGAGACTTCATGTGGTTGGGTAGCCAGTCTGTTCCTTTCTGTCGCTGTGTGGTGTCCTGTTCCACGGGTGTCCACAGAAGGCTCATCCCTTTACCTGCGGGGTCACTTGGGGGGTCTTCACTTGGGGGTTGTTCCAGAGAAAGCGGCTGTGGACATTCGGGTGCGGGTTGTAAGGGGGGTTCTCATCCCAAAGTCGGCAGCCCTGTTCTTGGGTCCTCGGCTGCCCGTCTATTTCCGGTGCAGCACGGTGCGCGCGCCTGCGGTCTGTCCCCTCCTCGCGGGGCTCCTCTCCGAGAGTCAGCCCTGCCAAGTCCGGTTGGACGCCTCTGCCTGCTCATTTCCACGGCAGACACGTCGGTGCCTCCCCCAGATCACTCCCCAGCGGGGCTGCGGCCGTGCCCCGCTCTGCACACGTGCTGCGGGACTCGGCACTGCTTCCGTGGCAGCACAGCCGGCCGCCCCCTCGCGAGCGGCCGGGCGGCGCCGTCCACTGGCACTGGCAGCGGAGGGCACGTGCAGGCAGCACTCGTGCGACGCCCAGAGTCGGCGGGTGTGACTTCTAACACGAGACCAAAGCGACAGTGACGCGCCCCGAATCAAACACAACACCAGAGACACTAGAATGAGCAGCACAGCACAGGCACTGCCGGGGCGGCGCTGCCTTACAGGTGGGGCCGGGGGCGGGCCCCGCTGGCGGCCGCTGCAGAGGGGCACGGCACCCCCACCCACCAGCACACACAGAGCCGAGTCGGGTCCGAGTCCCACCCCCGGGAGGTGAGCCCTGGTGACCCGGCGACCTCCTGTCCATCTGGGGTGCTGACGGCAGGCCCCTGCGTGGGGCACCCGCGTGACAGGGTGTCCGGGGACAGTGCTTGCTGGGGCCCGGCCCCTGGAGACGGTGCCCGCCGACCGTTCTGGCTGTTCTCCCAGGAGGTTTCTGCGGGACGACCGCCACGCACTTGCGTCCTGCTTTTCTCACGGATGGAACCCGGCACAGACATCTTCATTTTCCCTTTTGTGTTTTTCACTCAGTGGTCAGACAGGCGCAGGGCACCTGCTGGGTCCTCGTGCACTGAGGGCGCCGGGCGTGTCGGAGGGGCCGCGCCCCAGACCTGCGTCCTGACCTCCGAGGGCTGCCTCCCGTGTTACCCTGTGAACAGTCTAGAATGTGTCAGATCGTTTCCCCGTTACTGGGTTTTTTCTGTTGTTTCCACTTTTCTTTTTTTTCTTTTTTTTTTTTTTTTTGGCTGCCACTCACGGTGCTGCCTCTGTGGCCACATCTGCAGAGTAACTTCTAACGCTGGGCTCGCTGCTGCCGACGCCGTGGTCTGGTCCCTGCGCGCAGCTGTGGCGCTCGCGGGGGGTCCGCACGGGGCGCGCCCCGCACCCCGGCCCCTGGCCGGCCTTGGGTCTGGCGGGCGTAGGGTCGTGGCCCCGAGGGCGTGGGGCGCGTTGTCGGGACGCGTCCTCGCGTGGGCGGGGGTGCCAGGGCCCCGGCACGGACGAAGCCCCTGCTCTCGCCCCCCCCCCCCAGGCCTGAAGCGTGTCACGGGCGGCTTCAACTCCAAGAACCGGTGCGACGCCAGGACCTACGTCTACATGCTGCCCACGTTCGCCTTCGCGCACAAGGACCGCGACGTCCAGGACGAGACGTACCGGCTGAGCGCGGAGACGCTGCGGCGGGTGAACCGGCTGCTGGCCCGCTACAAGGGCACCCACAACTTCCACAACTTCACCTCGCAGAAGGGGCCGCGGGAGCCCAGCGCCCAGCGCTACGTGCTGGACATGTTCTGCGAGGAGCCCTTCGAGCGGGACGGCATGGAGTTCGCCGTCATCAAGGTGAAGGGGCAGAGCTTCATGACGCACCAGATCCGGAAGATGGTGGGCCTGGTGGTGGCCATCGTCAAGGGCTACGCCCCCGAGGACCTGCTGGAGCGCAGCTGGGGCGAGGCCAAGGTGGACGTGCCCAAGGCGCCGGGGCTGGGCCTCGTCCTGGAGCGCGTGCACTTCGAGACGTACAACCGGCGCTTCGGCTGCGACGGGCTGCACGAGCCGCTGGACTGGGCGCGGGAGGAGGCGGAGGCCGCGGCCTTCAAGGAGCAGCACATCTACCCCACGATCACCAGCACGGAGCGCCACGAGAGGTCCATGGCCCAGTGGCTGAGCACCCTGCCCGCGCACGACTTCAGCGCTACTGCCCACGCAGCGGCCAGCCCCGGTGCCAAGGTGGGGCTGGGGGTGGGGGCCCCGGGGGCCCCGAGGCTGGCGGGACCCCTTCCAGGAGCTGGGCCAATTCTCGTCCCTGTCTGTCATGTCCTCTGTGGCTAAGCTTCTGACCAGCTGTGTGCTGGTGTCCTAATGTACACGTGAGCAAGCAAGGCACAGAGAGGCACATCACTCCCCCAAGGTCACACAGCATCGGGGGAAACAGGGCTGGGTATTGAACCGGGTGCCTGGTGACCCTGACGCGCTGCCCAGCGCTTCCCCACACGTAGTGACCCAGGGCAAGGGACATGCTCAGGGGCATTTCCGTTTGTGACACGGAGGTGACTAGGACGTCCCTAGGCTGACGGTGCCGGTCCGCTAGCGTGCGCTCTGTTTTGCTGGCGCAGTGGGTGCTCAGGGGGTGACATCCCCACCTGCACTCGGGGGGGATCTTCCCATGACCTGGGCACCCGGAGAAACATTGCCGCCCTCCGCGCCTGGAGCTGTAAACTCGTGTCCGTGCAGGCAGGTGTCAGAACCGCAGGCGGCAGGCTGGGTAATGCACCTCAGCCAGGGCCAGGGAGGCGATCGGGGCCAGTGGAGACCGGGGCAAAGAGGGGCTCTTGTTCGCCTGCAGGGGAGGCTGCCCGTGGTGTCCATGTCGGAGCGCTTTCGCTCTCCCGAGGGAAGCTGGCATCCCATAATTTCGTGTGACCCCTTGCTCCTTGAACAGGCATGGTTATTCGCATCCCCGAATGCTGCGAGGCCGGGTGGAGCCCGTGTCCAGCTTTGACCTGGGAAAGCCTGCCGCCCGAGTCCAGCGGGCAGAAGCTGGCCGCCTGCTGCCTTCACGCTCTGCTGCGGGGCCTGCTCTGTCCGGTTGGGAGGGCCCAGCTGTGGGCTTGCTGAGGTCACCGCGTCCTCTGGGGGTCTGGAGGAGGCCAGTAAAGAGCCCCCACCTCCTTGTCGCCAGCCCCTGGCTCTCAGGTCCTTGGGTCAGTCGAGACAAAGGCTGGCAGAGCACCAACGCCGGCATCGCTCCTGAAGGGGCAGGTTGGGGGGGCTCGGGGGGTGCCACAGACAGCCCCCTCCACAGGAGGAAGCACCCACGCCTGGGCAGCGTGCTCCTCCACAGCTGTTCGTCTGCTCTGGCTCGGCAGGTCCCCAGCCCCCGGGAAGGCAGCGAAGGGGATGGAGACAGCGACTGAGGCGGGGGCCGCCCGTGGAGACGCCGCACCCAGGGCCGCCGCCGCCGCTGTGGGCCGCACCCCTCGCCGAGACGCGGCCTCGTCACCTCAGGACCTCGAGACCCACGCCGTGCCCCACGTTCCAGCTCAGCATGAACTCTGTCCAGCTCAGCGGGTCGAGACACTATTTTTTTAAAGAGATGATTTTCTTACTCAGTGAATACAAACTTTGCTTAGTCACTCCGTTTCTCTTTTCTTGGTCTGTCTGTTTCTTTCGCCGAGAGCCGAGAGGAGTGCTGTGTGCTCACCTGTCGGGACAGGTGACCTAGTGAGGGTGTGGGGTGAGTGGGAGTGGACGGAACACACTCCCAGGGGCTCCGAGGGTTGGGGCCGAGCAGTATGCAGCCGGGGGATCGCTCCGGGACCTGGCTTCAAGCCGTTGGGATGGGACTTGGCTGTGCTTAGTGGAAGCCTGCCAGGTGGCACGGACCAGAACAGGTGGCAGCTGGGCCCAGCACAGTGGTCCCCAGGCTGGAGGAGGGCCCTTCCTCTGTCTAGGTGGCTCTCCAGCACCTGGCCTTCACCCTGGCCACTTCCACCCACCACTGTTCACGGTCCAGGCAGCAGGAGGGGGCGTGTTGTTGAGTACTCGAGCCCCCTTAGCGAGCTCTCCCAGGACACATGGTCATGTCTAGCTGCAAGGGAGGCTGGGAACAGCTCTTCATGAAGTGGCGCCCGGTGCCGACCCAGTGCCACCCCAGAACCAAGTGACCCGTTAGCAGAAAGGGGATCGGTGTGGGCGGGCGGGTCATCAGCAAGCCGGCTGACGGAGCTACAAGAGTTCAGGTAAGGAGCTGGTGTGTGTGCACAGATATATGCATGCATATGATGCATGTGCATAACCATGTATGTATACGTGTAATGTGTGAGTGCATGGGTAACATGCATGTGATGCAGTGTGTGCACATCTGTGTGTATGCACACGCACAGTGGGGCTGGGGAGATACCTTCGGAGGACTTCCCCACCTTGGGCGTTCTCACCCTTTCCAATCACTTCATCTCCCTCACCCCTCCCACCAAGGCTCCGTCTTTCTCAGCAGGTGTGCTGTTACTCCCCTTCAGGAGCAAATAGAAGCCGTGGGTTGGAACTCCCCAGCTGCTTGAGTCCGCTCCAAGCCTGCACTCCTCTCCTGCCACCTGATGTTGCCACCCTCGTATCTGACACGAATGCCCTCCGGCACCCTCAGTCCCCCCCCATCACTTCCCACCTCCCCTGTTATCTCACCTCTAACATCTCTATGGCGGCATCAGCACTCAAATATGTGAAATCACTCACTCCTTTCTATCACCCAACTAATTTTATCCCCTTCCAACTGCCCCTCTCTTGTCTCCTTCCCACAGCAAGCTTTCTTCTAAAAATTTTCAGGGTGTTTAATATCAGGGAGGGTATTTGCACCTGCCTTTTGCTGAGGAGTTGATTGCCTTCGCCTGCATTTCTTTTTTTTAAATAAACTTAATTGGAATAGAAAACTCATCCTTTCAAAGTGCACAGTTCAGTAGTCTTTTTAGTAAACTCACAATGTTGGGCAAACATCAGCACTACCTAGTAATTTCACAACATTTTCATCATCCCCAAAAGGAGACCCCGCATCCCGAGGCAGACCCCATGCCCTCCCCGCAATCCTTGGAAGCCACTAATCTTTCCACCTCTGCGGATTTGTCCATTCTGTACATTAGAAGAATGTGTAGCCTCCCTGGCTTCTTTCCCAGAGCATGTTTTCAAAGTTTGTCTGTGTTCTAGTGTGTCCACATGTCATGCCCCCCCCATTCATTCATCAATGAATGAATGAGAGATACCTGTTATTTCCATTTCCTGTCTGCTATGCATAATGCTGAAAACGTTTGTTGTGTATCCATTTTTGTGTGGATATGGTTTTAATTCTTTTGGTTATATGCTGAGGAGTGGAATTCCTGTTAAGGAGTGGATCTCCTTAACTCAACATTTTGACGAACTGCCAAAGTGCAGCATTTCCCACTCCCACCAGCAGTGACGAGGGGCCTGGCTTCTCCACATCCTCGTCCACACTTGCTGTCGTCTGATTTCTCGATTCCAGCCAACCTAGTGGATGATGGGGTATCTCGTTGTGGTTTTCTGTTTGCATTTCCCTGGCCCCTGAGAGTGTTGAACATCTTTCGTGTCCTTATTAGACATTTTTTAAAAGATTTTATTTATTTTTAGAGAGGGAAGGGAGGGAGAAAGAGAGAGAAACATCAATGTGCGGTTGCTGGGGGCCATGGCCTGCAACCCAGGCATGTGCCCTGACTGGGAATCGAACCTGCGATGCTTTGGTTCGCAGCCTGAGCTCAATCCACTGAGCAACGCCAGCCAGGGCCTTATTAGACATTTTTTTGAGGCATGCCTGCAAATTCTTTGCTCCATAAAAATGATTGGTCTATTGAGTTGTAAAGTCTTTATTCTAGATACAAGTGCCTTATCCGGTATATGATTTGCAAACACTTCCATTCTGTGGGTTGTCATTTCTCGATGGTGTCGAGTGAAGCACACAAGTTTCTAATTTTGATGATGTTCAATGTATCCATTCCTTGTTACTTATACGCTCTTGGTGTAACTTCCGAGGAACCGAGGCGGTGAGGCTTGACACCTGCGTGTATTAGTTTCAGCAGAGGCACGTGGGCCTGCGATCCGGTCGCGATCACTCGTGCGAGCGGAGCGAGGTCGGGGTTCCCGCGTCCCTCTTTCACAGGTGGGCGCCCCCTTTCCCCGCAGCATTTGTTGGGAAGCCCAGTGGCTTTGAGAGGAGACTGCCTTTGCTCCGCTCCCCTCTTGCTCCCGCCTCGAGGCTCTCACCCCACCGACCGCACGCCCTCGGCGGAGCGCACTGAGCGCCCCCAATCCCGACTGGACTGCTGGGCTCGGCCCCGTCCGGCGCCCGAGCCCGCCGCACGCCCTCGCCCGGCCTCTCTGGGGCGCCCGGCCGCCTCGGCCCCGCCCACCCGTGACGTCACGCCGCCCGTCACCGCGCAGCTGCGGCGCGGGCGCGCGTCCCTTCCGGCTCGCCGTAGCAGGCGCGCCGCCGCTTTTTCCGCCCGCGGCCCCGGACGCGCCGAGTCCAGCGGAGCGGCGCCTCCTCCGCCTCAGCCGCCGGCTCCCGGCCCCCGGCCTCAGCCCGACGCGGCGGGAGCGCGGCCCAGGCCCCGGGTAGGTGGCGGCGCGGGGCGCGGGCCGCGGGCGGGGGTCTTCCGGAGGGCCTGCGCCGAGGGGCCGGCGCCGAGGGGCCCGCCGCGGCCGCCTCCCCCGGGCGCGGCGCCGAGAGCAGGCCGCGGCCGCGGCGCCTGTGGGCGGGCCTGCGCGCGGGCCGGGCTGCGGGCGCGGGGGACGCGTCGCGCGGCCCGCCGTCTCCGCGGGGCCCCTCGGGGCGTGCGGCGCGGCGACGGGTGGGCCGGGCGGGCGGCGGGGCGCTCCGCGCGGGGTCCGCACGCGCCGCGGGTCGGCGCCGTGTTCGGCCCGGCGTCCGGGCGCCCCCCGCCGCCCGCGGAGGAGCTGGGGAGGCTTGACACCTGTCAACGCGGGCCCTGCGGCGGCGGCGAGGGGGCGCCCGGACGCCGGCCGCGGCCTCCCGCCCGCGCTCGCCCCCAGCGGCCGCGCCGCCGCCCGCCCCGCGGCGCAGACGCGACCCGCGCGGGCCGCCCCTGGGGCCGCGGCGGAGCTTTGTTCTCTTTGTCGGCGCTTTCCGGCGGCGGCGGCGGCGGCGGGCGGAAGGACGAGCGTGTAACTTCTCTAGGGGGGCCGCTGCGGGTCGCTCTGAGCGGCTGGGGAGCCCCGAAGAACACGCGGCCAAACCCCGGCTCAGAAATAATAAGAATAAAGATGAGCGGCCCCGCGGGGCGGCTCGCGGGGCGGAGCGGCGGCGCGGCCGGCGGGGCTGCGGGTTCGGGCCCCGGGCCCGGCGCGCGCGGGGAGCAGCCGGTGAGCGCGCGGCCGGGGGGAGGGCGGGGGCGGCGGGTGCCTCTCCGTCCGACGAGCATAACGTAGATAAAGTGACTTAAGACCGCCCCGGGACCACCCCGACCCCCGAGGACAAGCAGGACGAACGGCCTCCTGGTGCCCTGCCGTGCCCGGGCGGCTTCCCGGGGGGAGCGGCGGTTGCCGGAGTCGTGCTACGGGCTTGCGAGGAGCCGGCGCCGGCGCGGTCGCGTGCCGCTGAGCCCCGCGGAGCGGCGGTCCCCGGCCCCGGGGGGGGCAGGACGGGAGGCGGAGCGAACGCCCCCCTGCGGGTGGGGGTGGAGGAGCGCCGACCCCGGGACCCAGTAGCTGCTGTTGGCGGCCGCGACCGGCACCGACCGGACCTCCTGGACCTCCTGGGTCGGAGCCGCCCTTCCGTGCCTTCGGGTCCTCGTCTCTCCGGAGACTCGTGGCCGGGCGGGCGCTCCAGCTTCCCATCCTGGGACACGGCTTCCCTCCGCTCCAGGCTGGGAAAGACCCTGCACCCCGCCCCCCCGCCCGCCCCCAGGTGCTCTGCTCCCACTGCCCCGGAACCCGCAGCGGCCGAGCGTCTGGCCCCATCTCGCCTCTGGAGCAGCTCCCCTGCGGGCTCCTGGCGCCCCGGCACGGCCAGGCGCCCCTGTGGGCAGCCTCCGGCCCGGCCGCCCGGCCTCCTTGCGGCGGCACCGCTGTCTGGGCGCGCGAGCCTCCGCTCTGTCGTTCTGCTGTGGCCTCGCTGCTGCGACTCCCGCGGTCCTTGCCGGTCCCTTCTCGTGGCCTCCCCGCAGGTGTGGTGGTGCTGCAGGGCGGTCCTCAGAGCTCCTCGCGGGTCCGTGCGGCCAGGTGATGCCGACCTCTGTCATGGCCGCGGGTCCCCTGCCGGGGTGTCCTGGGTGTGCGTCCCCCGCGCCTCCCACACCCGGGCACCCCTGTCTCC